TTTGGTCTTTTTGAGACAGGGTCTCCCTGTAGCCCCAGCTGTCCTGGAACTCACTATGTAGACCAGGCTGCCCTTGAACTCACAGGGATCTGCCTGCCTCTGCCTCCCGAGTGCTGGGATTAAAGGCATGTGCCACCACACCCGGCCATCCTCTCCATTTTTTATGCAAGGATACTGAAGCTTAACAAAGTTGAATGTTCTGAATATTAGCTATGTATGTGTCAGATGCTAGATTTGAATCTATCTATTGTGACCAGAAGCTCCTACTCACAGCCTTTGGGTTGAGCAGTGACGACTTAAGTGTAATAAATTTTGCAAGTATTGAAATAGGTTTCTGATGCTGTGATTCCAAGAAACATCACAATTCTGTGTTTATATGTCAACGTGTCTGTTACTCTGAGGCTCCCTTTCCCCTCAGTTTGCATGAAGCATGGAAAATTTGATCTAAGGATATGCTTTCTTTTTGGGGGGGGATCTGATCTTCAGATAAGAGGGCTGGGAACTATAGAAAAATCTGGAAGAACATGACATTGGTGTTGATGTCAAGATAACTCCAGCTTTAAGTCCATGTGGTCCGTTTGTGAGTGGTGATATCATGCCTTCCACCCCATTCTTAGTCACCTGGATGGTTTCTGCAGTGCTACAGATGGAAGTAGGGAGGACTCAAGTGCAGGCCTCTGTGAGCCATCCCAATCTGGATATGGGGGCCATTCCCTGGAGCATAGGCAGCTTATCAGTGGCCAAACACCCAAAGGAGTCCCTGTGTATTGAGATTTTAATGATCTTCTAATGTATCATAAGAGAATTCTGTGTTTCATTATTGAAAATTCTTTGTTTCCTTTCCTGAGTATGCCTGAGGGATTCTGAATCTGAGTCCTGCAGCAATAGCTACATATCCCCATGCATTGACAGCATCCACAATAACTAAGTTACAGAATCAGCCTAAGTGTCCATCAACAGATGAATGGATTAAGAAAGTGAGTCACATATACAAAATGGAATTTTATTCTGCCAAAGAACAGCAGAATTGTGTCATTTTTCAGGAAAATGGATGGAACTGGAGATCATCATATTGGGTATAAGGTAGACTCAGAAAAAAATATGTATGTATAGGTTCCACATATTTTATATGTCTGTATACACAGGCACACACACGACACATATGACATGAAGGCAAAAGGGGGGTTGGAGGGAAGAAGAGACCAGAGAGAGACCAAGAAATGGTAACATATCAAAGTACAAAGCACATATATATGGAAATGTGATAACGAAACATTATTTTGTATGTTGATTTTTAGAAAGAAAGGAATAGTGCTTGTTCTGGGTTTCTAAAAGATACATTGAATCATGGAAGAAAAGTTCCCCTTTTTCTTAGTTTGCCACTACTTATTTGTGCGGTGCTTACAGTCAAATCCAGGGCCTGGCATGTACTAGATTGGCACTCTGCCCCTGAGCCACACCTCCAGCCTACTAAGATTTATTTACTATTTTATTAATTCTTTGAGAATTTCATACAATATGTTCTGATTATATTCACCCCTACTCTTCCACTTAACTCTTCCCAGATCTATCCTCACCTCCCTAACACCCCAATTTCATGTCCTCTTAAAAAAATCCATTGAGTCCAATTTGTGCTGGTCACATATTCCTGGGTATGGGGCCATCCACCAGAGTGTCGTCAACCTACCAGGGACCACTCCTTAAAGAAATACTCCCTCCCCCAGAACTGTCCATAGTTCCTCAGGTAGGGGTAGAGGTCTGTCAATATCATCTCCCTTCATGCTAGAAGGTTGACTGGCTTGATCTTGTATGGGTCTTGCGCAGGCAGCCACAGCTTCTGTGAAGTAGTCTTGTCATGTCCAGAACACACTGCTCCACTCTGGTCCTCCTGGACCTCTGGTTCTTACTGTCTTTCCACCCCGTCTTCTGTGATGACCTCTGAGCCTAATGGGGGGTGTTGTGATATAGATGTTCTGTTTGTGGCTGAGCACTCCACTGTCACTTCTTCACTGCACTTTGACCAGAGTTTCTGTGTTAACCATCATCCACTTCACAAACTTCTCTGATGAAGGTTGAGAGCTGCATTAATCTATGGGTAGAGAGATAGCTATTTAGAGGGAAGTTTGATACCATGTCCATTTAGTAGAGTAGTAGTAGGTCTACTTCTGGGGCCTGTGAGCTCCCCAACCATGGGTTCTTGGGCCAAATTTACAGTACCCAGCAGGTGTTTCTTTCTGTGGAGCAGACCTTAAATTCAATCAGAAAATCGTTGGTTACTACCACAGTATTCATGCCACTGTTCCACCCACAGAAATCTTACCACACCCATAATTATTGTAGTTCACAGGGTTCACATTCTGGGTAAGACTATTGATGACACCCAAACACCATCAGCCTGCATATCCTCTTCTGGTTAAGAAAGCTAGCCATCAAGGAGGAAGTTTCCTAGTCAGCACCAACTTGATTTCTCCATATCCTGTGACCAATGTGTACAATGTCTTCAGCAAAAGGGTCTTACCATCAAGTGGTAATGTGTGTTGAACTTTATCAGATGATTTTCTGGCATTTTCTTTGGTCTCCTAGCATACAGAAAGTGAAGGGTAGGTAGAGTCATTTCCCCATCTTGGATGTTGACATCAAGTCACAACTGAGACTAAGAAGCTCCAGGTGCCTCATATTCTGTCTGGAGAAAGACTAAGTATGCCACCACTGGGCCTGCAAGGAGGCTGTTCAGTAGAAGTGACTCAACAATCCCTTTTTCCTCGTTCAGTATAAGGAAGATGAGTGAGGGAAAAGGAGGCCAACCCCTCTTGGTCCCTTCTGAGCTCTCATAGTGGAAACTATTCTTTCCCCTCGATATGAGATATTTGATGGTAGCGTTGCTCAAATTACAACTTCCACGATTAAGACATCTAAGGCAGTCACAGGAATTATTCACTGTTCTAGAGTTACTGACATGCTAAACCAGCAGACAGCCTGATTTTGTTCAGTCATGAAGGAAAAAAGAAATGGGAAGAAATTGTGAGCAGGGATATTGAGGCAATTGTGTTCCAACTCTTGGATGAAGTTTCCCACGTGCTGTGTGAATGCTACCGGCCATTGAGGCCCTACTCATGAGCAGTTGTTCCCTAGAACACAAGACTCTAGCAACAGGACCGTGTGGGTGGACAGGTGCAACTGATGTGCTTTGGTTGGACATTCTTGCAAAGTTCTTTCCAAAGGACCCAGCTCCCAAGAACTGTCATGAGCCACTGAACAAATAGACCCAATAACCTGCCCGTGTGTTCAGAGAAGCAGCAGTATCCTCAATGACATGTCATTCCTTGTGAGAACAAATATGCCCCAACTTTGTATGAATATTCTCTTCATCTTTCATGTATCCTAATGCAACCTTTATGTATGTATATAACCTTCATGTATGGAACTTCATGTAACTTTCATGCATATTAAAAAGAATGAGAATACTCCAGAGACACTTGTGTCCCTCCCTTTGGTTGACTATGAAATAAGACACTTCAGGGAACTGGAATTTCCTCCAGGAATCTCATGCCAAGAGAAGAAAAGACTGACGTCTGATGCCAACCAGAAGGGGAATTTGCCTTCCAGAAAAGGATTTCTCAAAGTGCTGACAAATCATCAAACCACCTTACAGGAAATATTGGAGCCAAGCCAATGGTGGGTCAAAGATGGGTGGTGTTCTCATTAGCTTTTTATTGCTGTGATAAACGTCACAACCAACTACAACTTGGAGAGAAAGGGTTTATTTGCCTTTATTATGTTGAGATATGTCCCCTGTATGCCTAGGTTCTCTATGACGCTTACCGTAAATGGATATTCTATTTTGTCAAAGGCCTTATCTGCATCTAATGAGATGAGCATGTGGTTTCTGTCCTTGAGTCTTTTGTTGTTGGT